CATGAACAGGACTGAGGATCAATGGAATAGAAGTGAAGACCCACAAATGATCCCACAGACCTGTGACCACCTAATCTTTGATAAGCAAGCTAAAATTATCAGATGAAAGAAAAACAGACTTTTCAACAAATGATGATGGCAGAATTGGTTATACATGTGTAGAAAACTGAAGATAGATCCTTATGTATCACCCTGCACCAGAATCAACGCCAAATGGATCAAAGGCCTTGAGCTAAGAGCAGATATCCTGAAAATATTACAGGAAGGGATAGGGTATACACTAGGGCTCCTTGGTACAGGTTAAAAGTTCCTAAATAAAGACTCAGAAACAAAACAAAGCACAAAATCTGAACAAGTGAGATTGCATTAAACAGCAGAGCTTCTGCAGGTCAAAGGACATAGCTAGCATATAGCACATAGCACAACCATATTCATTGCAGAATTATTTACGATAGCTAAGATTTGGAACCAACCTAAATGCCCCTTAGTAGATGAATGGATCAAGAAAATGTGGTATATATACACAATGGAATTCTATGCCTCCATCAGAAAGAATGACAATTGCCCCATTGGTAAGAAAATGGAAAGACTAGACTTGGGAAAAAAATCATATTAAGTGAAATAAGCCAGACACAAAGAAACAAGGGTTCCATGGTTTCCCTCATTTGTAATACTTAGTATATGTCTAGGATAATCCTAATAGAGGATCACAATAGCTCAATAGCTGTATAGTAAGACCATATAAAATGATGCTTATCAAAATAAACTCCAAGATAAAAAACAAGAGGTTTTGTTGTTGTTGTTGTCTTTAATGTATTGTATGACATTATTTCCTTTTACTTTCTTTTTTCTTTTCCTTTGGTTTATCCCCTGATGTCACCAGTGCAACAGCAATACTCACTAGGCACTAATTCATGTTTTGTTTTGTTTTTTTGTCGGTCGTGAACTCTGGGCTTGAGCACTGTCCCTGAGCTCTTCAGCTCAAGGCGAGTGCTCTACTGCTTGAGCCACAGCTCCACTTCCCTCACTAGGCACTATCTTAGAAATGAACTTTACAAGTTGGTGGGAGAGGAGGGAAAGTGGAAAAAAAATGAGAGAGGGGGTAAAAATGTTCAACAAGAAATGTACTCAACAATCACAAACAAGGCCATACTAAAGCCACCAGCACAACTATGTTTATTGCAGCATTATTTACCATAGCTAAGATATGGAACCAACCCACATGCCCTTCAGTAGATGAATAGATCAAGAAAATGTGGTATATATATATATATATATATATTTCATTTTCTCTCTCTATATATATAGAATGGAATTCTATGCCTCCATCAGAAAGAATGACATTGCCCATTTGTTAGGAAATAGAAAGACTTGGAAAAAATTATATTAAGTGAAATAAGCCAGGCCCAAAGAAACATCGGTCCCATGGTTTCTCTTATTTGCAATAACTAGTATATGCCTAGGACAAGAAGAAAAGGTCAAAAACTATGTACATATGACCATATAAGTTGATGCTTAGTGAAATGAACCCCATGATAGGGACACAAGAGGGTTTATCTTTGTTGCTGTTGTTTTTAATGTATTTATAATGTACTATGTGATTTGTTTGTTTCTTTTGTATGTTCTTCCCTTATGGGGTAACCCCTGTTTTCACTATATTTGATTCAGGTGCCCTGTATCATGTTTATACATTTTTCTAATTTGGAGAGAGGAAGGGAAATAAGAAAATGCTGAAATAAGGATACAGATTGACCCATTGTAACAATGAGATGTACAAGACACTGTATTGAAAATGAACTTTACAACTTCGGGGGCAATGAGGGTTGGGAGGAGTTGGGGAGGAAGGGAAGGGATGGTAGGGGAAAAACAAAGGAGGTAACAATGCTTGATAGGAAATGTACTTATTACCTTACTCATGTGACTGTAACCCCTCTGTATAGTATCTTTACAATAAAAATATACTAAAAAAAGAAATGTACTTATTGCCTAGTAAATATGTAATTGTAACCCATCTGCACAACACCTTTACAATAAAAGTTTTTTTAAAGTTTAGAAAAAGAACTAATAAACTAAAAGAAAGAAGCCCCCCAAAAAGAAGCAATTCCCTAAGATTTAGGACTACCAGAGGCTGCAAATGAGGAGTAAGTGGATAATGAATGGGGAAAGTAATTTGTTTAATTTTGCCTTATGTTTAATTGATTTTTATAGAATGACCTAGAGTATCTATTTTCAAATATAAAAATTTTATAAAGCATCGAGAAATGCCAATTATAACCATGAAAACCCATGAATTATTAACTGCACTCACAGCATAATGCATTAATTGAATTATCTCAAGCAGTCTAAAGCAAGTATGCAATAAATAATATCATTATCACTATTTTATAGATTACAAAATTGAGGTACCAAGAGGTAATTTGTTTCATTCAAGGTCACAGAGACAGTAAGTAGTAGAGATTTTAACCTGACAATAACTTTGACCCCAGGGTAGGCCTTCCTCAAAGAACCCATAATATTTTAGAAGATACCTATAGTATGGGAATTAAATAAAAACTGTGTCTTTTATAGTTTTCTTTTCTGTCATTTAAAAGCATAACAGAAATAGCTGTGTGTGTGTGTGTGTGTGTGTGTGTGTGTGTGTGTGTGTGTGTGTGTGTGTGTATCCTTAGGCTTAAGCTCAGGGCCTGAATGAAGTCCCTGAGGATTTTTGCATAAGACTAGCATATTACTACTTGAACAACTGCATTACCACTTGAACAACTGCTCTACTGCCAGCTTTTTTGGTCGTTAATTAAAAAAAAGAATCTCATGGACTATCCTGACCAGACTGTTTTTGATTTTTTTTTTTTCCTGGTCGTGAGGCCTGAACTCTGGGCCTGGGCACTGTCCCTCAGCTCTTCAGCTCAAGACTAGCACTCTACCACTTGAGCCTCATTCCCACTTCCGGCTTTTTCTGCTTATGTGGTGCTGAGGAATTGAACCCAGGGCCTCATGCATGCAAGGCAAGCACTCTACCACTGAGCCACCTTCTCAGATCGACCAGGCTGGTTTTGAAACCGAGATTCTCATATCTCAGCATTCTAGGTAGCTAGGATTACAGACATAAGACACTGACACCCAGCTGAGAAATACCTTTTATAAATTGAACTGTTGGGGCTGGGAAGGTGGCTCAGTGGTACAGCGCTTGCCTTGCATGCATGAGGCCTTGGGTTCGATTCCTCAGCACCACATAAGCAGAAAAAGTCAGAAGTGGTGCTGTGGCTCAAGTGGTAGAGTGTTAGAGCCTTGAGCTGAAGAGCTCAGGGACAGCACCCAGGCCCAGAGTTAAAGCCCCACAACCAGCAACAAAAAATTGAACTGTTGCTAGTTCTAGGCACCTACATCTTATATTTCTCTTTTTGGCAGCTATTCATTGTTCAAAGCAATATGTTTCAAGGTGACATTCGCATTCACATATAGCATGCTTTGATCACATGCATCTATGTTTCCCTCAATTATCTCCTTCTGTCCCTCTTTTCCTCTGCCACATCATTGAATAGACTCTCTTGTAGCTCCTTTCTAAACTCCACATTCAAGTGAGAATACATAGCACTGGTCTTTCTGAATCTGGCTTATTTTGCTGAATATAATCTCTAGTTCCATCTATTTTACTGTATAGGACGTACTAGTCTTCTTCTTGTTTGTGGCTGTACAAAACTCGATTTATGCAGCACCATGTTTTTTCAATTTTATTTTATTCTAAGGGTGATGTACAGAAGGATTACAGTTATATAAGTAAAGCAATGAGTACATTTCTTGTCAAACATTGTTACACTTCCCTCATTTCCTTCCACTTTTCCTCCCACTGTCTCTCCTCCCTTCCAAACTGTAAAGTTCATTTCTAACATTGTATCTTGTGAGTATTGCTGTTGCATTAGTTCATACTTGTCCTTTGTCTCAGCATTTTGTTATTCCCCTTCTCTTCCCCATAAAAAAAAACACATATATGGTTGGTTCCATATCTTAGCTTTGGTAAATTATGCTGCAATGAACATAGTTGTGCTGTTAGTTTTAGTGTGGCCTTGTCTGTGTTTGTTTGGATAGATGCCCAAGAGTGGGATTGCTGGAGCATAGGGGGGCTCTATATTTAGTCTCTTGAGGAACCTCCACATTGCTTTCAAGAGTGTTTGAACCAGTTTACATTCCCATCAATAATGTAGTAGCATTCCTTTTTGGCCACATCCCCACCAACATTTACTATTATTTGTTTTCTTGATAATGGCCATTCTAACTGGGGTGAGGTAGAATCTCAGTGTGGTTTTGATTTGCATTTCTTTTATGGCCAGAGATGTTGAGTATTTCTTCATGTGTCTATTGGCCATTCTTATTTCCTCTCCAGAGAGTTTCTCTTTAAGTCTTTAGCCCACTTATTAATGGGGTGGTTGTTTCTTTGAGGATTTGTTTTTGGGGGATTTGATATGAGGCCCTTGTCTATGCAACAGTATAGTTAGTGAAGATCTCGCAATCTGTGGGCTTTCTATTGATCTTGCTAGCTATGTCCTTTGCCATGCAGAAGCTCTGTAGGTTAATGCAGTCCAATTTAAACAGCCTTTCTTTGATTTTGTTTCTGGATCTTTATTTAGGAACTTTTGACCTGTACCAAGGAGCCCTAGTGTATGCCCTATCCCTTCCTGTGATATTTTCAGGGCATCTTTTCTTACTTCGAGGTCTTTGATCCATTTGGAGTTGATTGCACTATAATTTTTATCCATTAATCCATTGTTGAGCATCTAGAATAATAACACAACCTGGCTATTCGTGAATAGATCTATGATAAACACAGATACCCAGGTATCTCTACAAAAATGAATTTTGTACTTTTGGGTACAAAACAGGATTTCTGGATTACATGGTAGATCCATTCTTTATTTTTTTTGTGGAGGCCCCTCCATATTGATTTCCACAGTAATCACACTAATTTATACTTTCACAACAGTATACAATTGTTCCTTTTATTCCTACAAAATATGAAACACTTCACAGATTTGCTTATTATCTTATACATGGGCAATACTAATCTTCTCTTTATGATTCTAGTTTTAGTATATGTGTTGCCAAAGTGAATATGCATTTTGTCCTTTAACAAGTATGATATAATGATTCCTGAGAATGTATATGCTATTTCTAATACTTGGATTAGCTTACAAGTAAAATATTTTTTTTTACAAATATGGAACTAAAAGGTGATAAGTCATACGGGTAAGACAGGATTTCAAAACTGGTCTGTCTGAAAACACCTTTTCACTGTTTCTGTAAAAAAAAAAAAAAAACCTTTTAGCTTTATTAGCAAATACTGTTGCAGTATGTATTCTCATTATTTAAAGTATATATATATATATATATATATATATATATATAATCAACTTTATTTCAATTTTTGGAAATTCTAGCACATTTAAAAGCAAGAGAAACCTTGGTTCTTAGCAGTCATTACTTGTTGACCTATCATTAAATGAACCAAAGTCTTATGAAAGTGACAGATCAGCCCAGTGGCTCAGACACTACTTAAATCAAGACAATCCTATAGGAATATGTGCAGTCCAGACTCAGGGCTGCAAACACATCTGGAAAACCATAATATTGACTCTAAGCTTATTCTACTATATTGGCCACTTCATTTCTCATCCCATTTTTTGCCTTTCTGTTTTAATATTACTATGATTCTTAAATGTTTTCAAAGTACATTCTTTAGCATATTCATCAGTCATCAGAGGTATATATGTGTTATGTTTAAGAATTTAAAAGGTTTCCCTGGTTTCACACCTTACTGGAAAAGCCTGAGGGTATTTGTTTGTCTGTTTCTATATTTCTTCATTGTAGGATTTTCTTTTTTTGGTCTTAGAGCTTGAACTTGGGGTCTGAGTGCTGTCCCTGAGTTTTTGCCCAAGGCTAACACTCTATCACAGTGCTGCTTCCAGTTTTATAGTAGATAATTGGAGATATGAGTTTAAAGTTGTTCCTGCCTTGGCTGGCTTTGAACTGTGATCCTCATATCTGAGCCTCCGGAGTAGCTAGGATTATAGGCATGGATCAGAACCCAGCCATTGTAGGATTTTTTTTGGAAGTCAATATCATTTATTGTGCATGATGACTCTTTAAGATCTAGGTACATGTCTCAGGTTTTCCTAGACAGAATCTCTTGTTACTAGAGAATATGGAGGTACCAGTATTCTCTCATCTCACTGGAATAAACATCATCTTCCAGCCAGTTATCCCCAGTTAATAATTTCCCAGAGTGATTCTGAGTTCTGAAGGTTGTGTAAGGCTTGCAATCACCACATGTCTGATTATTTCTGGGATCTGTGGCTCATGTCTTCTCATTGCCTCAGTAAGAAATGTGGCAGTGCCAGCCAGCTGACAGAAAACAGGAACCAACAGTGGTCAGGAAAGAGCAATGAGTCAGAGTTTACAAGAAACAAAATAAGAGGAAAGATAGAACTTTTCGTTCTGAGAGAAGATAACTCATGTGTGGAGACAAAGATAGGGAATCCAGTCTATTGTTCATATCCATACTTGAGTGAATATTACCCAGATTTGCTGCCACAATTTATCTTTGTTGTGCCATTGTGATAAGCATTTCATGAATATGTTGTTGGACAATAATTATGTCTTGCTACCTATGCACAAGTTTGTATTGCTTTCTTGTAATATACTACTTAAAATCTTTTAACCACACTATAATTATTAAGTTTCAGAATTGGAAAGGATTTCTGGGCAATGGTGTTAATCTTACTCAAGAGGCTATGATCTGAGGATCATGGCTTAAAGCCAAATCTGGGAAGACAAATCTATGAGAGTCTTTTATCCAATTAGCCAGCAAAAGGCTGGAACCACAGGCATGGCTCAGTGGTAGAGAGCCAGATGTGAGCAAGGCCCAGAGTTCAAGCCCCCATTCTACTTGAGAGGGATGTTGAGAGGATTCTGGAAAAAGTGATGCTATTTCTTTATAATAAAGTAAGCATATTCTCTTTTTGCAGACCTCATTGTGTTTGTATGGAATGTCTAGGACTTTAACAGCGATGTGTCACATTTTTTAAACACACAAAACAAAATTTTACTCTACTGTCAGTTATGTATTAAGTTTTCATTAATTACATTTTAGACATATTTAACATTCAACACACAGCATGAAGATTTATAAATCAATTGCTTAAAAGATCATTACTAGATCAATTACTATGAAACCTTTGTTTTGGGGTGTTGCAGTCATCACAGTGAGGTTAGATCAAGTTATTGGGCAAGTGAGCCACGTGCCACATTTTGTATACAGCATCTATTTCTGAAAGAGCGTCTCAATTACATTTTCGGATTCCATGAAACCTAGATCTTCTTCTTGCTTATCTCCTTAGTTTTGGTCATGGAGTCTGTGAGCTTTCTTTCCTAAGTATCTCTGAAGTTTCCACTTCTCTATCTCCAGCAATAACATCTTGTACCCCATTTCCATTTTCTTTCACATCACCACACACCTTATCATATTATTCTCTTCTTGAAAATCCACCATACTAAAGAGTCAACTGGTAAGCTTAGTGGAAACTTCTGGATAACTTAGCTCTAACACAGTTCTAGAGTTTCATGTCACTACCAAATTTGCTCTTCATGTTTTGCCCACTGAACTTCCAGGTACTTTAAGGATCCAAGTTGTTCTTGGGGAAAATACTATCCTGCCAGATAAAGTCTTCCTCCATTCCTTTCTAGTTCCTTCTTTCCTGCTTTACTTCCTGAGCTTGTTTACTAACGCTTCCTCAGGGAAGCTTTTGTGACCATTACACTAGATTAGGATAGACCCTTTGATATCTGCTGTGGTATTTATCACAATGTAAGCACATACACAATCAACTGTATTATGTTTGTCTTTCTTGGTTGGAATGTATATTTCATTACCATCTCTCATGTTAAATGTTATATTCCAAAAGGTATGCTCAATTTTATTTCACAAGCAAGGCGAGTTCTTGATAAATAGAGAATACTTAATTGATTTATCTGAAAAGCAATACAATACTTGGGAAATTAGAAACTAAAAAAGTTAAATCCACTCTTCTCAAGCAGTATGAGTTCTAGGGATGGAACATAGTGGATCTGGGCACACAGTCCATAGACAACCTCAGTAGGTTTCAATGACAATGCTGTGATTGATGACAATTCTGATGAATTATTTTTCTTCCATAAGTCTCAGTTTCATCATTGGTAAAATGGGAAGAGTAATTTTATTTCTTTCATAATATTAATTGCTTAGTTACTTACACACAGTTATTTAATACCTGCTATGTGCGAAGTACTCTGACAGAGGCTAGGACTAGAATAATGTACTTCACAGATTGGTTTCCCTTCTCATTAACTTTCTGTTCATCTTTCTATCACAACATCTGGTGTATATATATATATATATATATATATATATATAATGTTTGTTCAGTACATATTTGCTGATGCAAATGTATGTATGTAGATGCTTATTTTCCCACTGATGGAATGTATAAAGTACAAGAAAGCACTAAAGTATAGAAGTAAAGAAGAATAGTAGCATATATACACAGAAGATTCAGAAGCTGTTGGGCAGAATGCTGAACTTTATATGAGTTTTTTCACTCATCTTCAATCAGTGATTCACATCCACTTACTATAGTCTTCATTTTTCAGAGAGGGAAGCTATAACACACTCAGCTGAAGTCACCAGCAGGTAGCAAGGCACACGTGTGTAGATAATTTCACTACACCACAGCATCATTAAATTCTATCACACTCTAGCTGAGAGTCCAGAGTTCCAAGGAGAGAGAAAATAAGGAGAGAAATTCAAAGCTAAGACAAGGGAAATACCAACATCAGAAAACCAGCAGGGAAATATCTTTCTTTCTCTTACAATTTTTATCCAGCTGCTTGGCTGTCCATGAGGACCTGTTCACTTTTTTCTGTAAGGTAATAATAGATTTAACTATGTCAGGCTGTTTAGTTTTATTCAACCCTAAACTATATTCACTGGAAGCCCTGACTCAGAAGAATATCTTATAATTGTATATACTTTGATGAAGACAGGCACTTAAAGCTGAACTGTAGTCTGATGCTTTTTCCTCAGACTCATTTCAAAGTAGTCTGATGAAGTAACATAATAAAAGGTAAACAAAGAAGCTATATGTCAGATGTATTAGACACAAAAAGCCAGACTGAGACTAGAATTTGAGATGAGGAAGTATATGAGACAATCAAGTAAAGCTTTTCTAGGAGACCGAGAAGAGCTACGTTTGCCTTCACAGGTTACCAATCTAGTCTAGGGCCAAGTGCCTATGATCAAAGCATGCAAGAGGCCACTTAAAGCTTTTTTCTTTTTACTTCCCTTAATCAATTATTTGTGTAACTGCTATTGTTTATGAAACCCAACTTTACATTCAAATCAGAAAGTCATTCTAATTTATTGCTGAATACATTAACTTGCTTGGTATAATCAATAAGCAAAACATCTCCTTTCATATAATTACTCTGTAGGATAATAGTGCGCAATATTTTTGGAGTCAGGTTTCTTTTACACTCAACATTGTTATTGAAAACTTCAAAGAGCTGCTTTTCCACGTGATTTACCTTATTAAAACTCTGTTTAAAATTAAAATAGAAACTATTAAACATCTATTTTATAACTGATTACAAAGCTATAAGCCCATTTCATATCAACACAAGTAACATTTTAATGAAAATAAGTATACTTAACAAACAAAACATTAATGAAAAGAATGGTATTGTCTATGTTTCTGCAAATCTCTTCATGCTTTTTTTTTAAAAATTTTGAAAATACCGTACAGAGGGGTTACAATTACATGGGCAAGGTAATGAATACATTTGTTATCAAGCATTGTTGCCTCCTCCTTTGTTTCCCCTTACCATCCCTTCCCATCTCCTGCCCCCCCACCCTCCATCCTACCACCCCGCAGCCAAAGTTGTAAAGTTCGTTTTTTGTCATAACGACTTGTACATCTCATTGTTGCAATGAGTCTACCTGTATCCCTATTTAAACGTTTTGATTTAGTTTACAAGATGCAAGATGGTTTTTGATATCTGTTTCAGCCTTCACCCTCTGTAAC